TCCGCCAACTGAGTCCAGAACTACTAGATGGTGCCCGGCTACCACCACTGACTGCTCTGACAGGGATCACAATAGAGGGTCCCGGTCAGAACAGGAGAAAAATGTAGAACAAAATTCTAACTCAAAAAGAGCAGACTTAATGGCCTGACAGAGACTGGAGAAGCCCTAAGAGTATGGCCCCTGGACACCATTTTAGCCCAGTAATGAAGTCACTCCAGAGGTTCACCTTTTAGCCAAAGATTAGACAGACCCATAGGACAAAATGAGACTAAAGGGGCACACCAACCCAGGGGCAAGGACTAGAAGGCAGGAGGGGACAGGAAATCTGGAAGTAGGGAACCCAAGGTGGAGAAGGGAGAGTACTGACATGTCATGGGGTTGGTAACCAATGCCATAAAACAATATACGTACTAACTTTAATAGAAGCTAGTTTATTCTGTAAACCTTCATCTGAAGTTCAGTTAAAAAGAAAAAATCCTGCATGGCAGTAATTGTTTCTTGCTTTTATAGCTGTATTTTGTACATTTTGGGTTTCTTTATAAAGGTCATAGATTCTTGAACTGATGTGGTTTTTAGTGTGCTTAATACTAGCTTGCTTAAGACATACTTTTAATCAGGTAGAACAAAAGCAATTATTACCGGCATCTATACATGCAGATGGAGCCATGGTGGCGCAGTGGTTAAGAGCTCGGCTGCTAACCAAAAGGTCGACAGTTTGAATCCACCAGCTTCTCCTTGGAAACTCCATGGGGCAGTTCTACTCTGTCCTGTAGGGTCACTATGAGTCGGAATCAACTCAACAACAGTGGATTTGGTTTGTTTTTTTTTTTAAACACATGCAGAGAGTATTGCACTACCTAGTCTATGAAATATTTTGAACACACATCTCTCCTGTCAGTCTAAAAACTCAGTACGTTCATCGTAGTGAAAATATACAAGCTACAGCTGTCAGATGACACATCTACACTTTTCTCCAGCATGTGTATACATGTCCAATTGTCAGCCACGACAGAAGGGACAGATACTGTTTTTGTATTTTAAAAAACAATTTTGTTATATGCAAAGTTCTTTTTTTTTTTAATTTCTTTTATGCAGATCAATTTTTAAACTCATATAGGGAGGTATCTTTATAAACTATGAAATGTCAGTGTTCAGCCAGACTGGTATGACAGAGCAGTGAAAGTTGAAATTCAGTGAGGAGAACTCTGAAGGAACAGACCGTTCTCCTGCTTTGCCTTCAAAGTGTCAATCCGTAGTTTTGGTGCTAACTCCACAAAAATGTCTATAGATACATTTTATATTAAGGACAGACCAACATCAGCATAGCAAACCAACTTCAAAAACTTTGGGAGAGGGCGGGATTAAGTATAAACACACTTGGCTTATAGTAAATGAACTGATTTTTTATTAACTGTTTTGCCTGTATAAAATGCTGATATTTACAGGTACCCTGGCCACCTTTGTAATTGTGATTAAAGTACCAGGTGTAATGCCGAAAGAAGATAATGTGTAGACAGCAGTGGGTATCTCTGACAAAGTGTTTCTCAAAAGTGATAATAAACTTATTTTCACATTAAAGAAATATAGTGTATTTGTGGAATCAGGGCTGCTGGGTTTTAGGATTCTAGGTGATCAGCATACAGACCACGCCTAAATTGGACTAATACTGTCTTTTATATTGACTGTCTTAGTTTGCTAAATAATCTAGCTTTGAATTTTAAAATAAAACATCCTTCTTATGAGAAAATTAGCCCTTTGATATACCAGTGGCGTGTTTAAAAGTATCTTTGGTAATAGAACAGAAATATGTTGAAACGTTGTGTTTTGAATGTTAACAGGTACTTCCACCGGTTTGGCTTGTTTCTTGATGAAGATGTTAGGGAAAGGCATACTTAATACAAACGAATGGGAGAAGCAAGTAAATAAGACCTGAGAGTTAGCCTTTGATTTTAAATATCTGTTCCTATAAACCTTGTCCATAAAAATAATAAATCAATTAAAAAAATAAAACATAGCAGGTGCTCAGTAAAACTTTTTGAATGAATAAATGAGTTCTCTGTAAAGGACTTGTCTCTGTCACTGTGTCTTCCCTGAGTGAACCTGGTGTGCCGACAGGTGAGATTCTCAGGTCCAAGTAGCGGAGGGAATTCTGGGAACAGGGTGGCTCCACAGCACTCAGAAATGTCAAAACTTTAAAAGGAAGATCAAGGGAAAAGAAAAAAAAAAAAGCCCTACTTGTTGCTATGTGACGGATTTTGAAGTATGGTATAGAACCTAACTGCCTTTCACTTACTGTATGTAAGAGGGAATAGTGGTTCTTCATCCGCCTGTCTGGGAGAGTTTTTTCTTTTCTTCAAAAATACCAGCTTTGTGAATCTACAGTATAAGACCTGTCTTGGGGGAACAGTAGGTCATTTGTTTCGGAGCTTATAAAAGAACTAATTGTCCTTTATAATGGATAACACACTTAGTAAGTTTAAAATATTTTATTTTAGGAAGCATACTCTTGTTTTAATCTTGTTTTCTATATTCACAAATTAATCATGACCAACTTAGACAGAGCCATTGATTTCTCTTCCTAAATTTGTTTAAAAAGAATGTTTTCTTGAAAATTCACAAAAAAAATACACCTGATTTCTTTTTGCCAAGGCCATCACTTACTACAGTTTAGATTGTACAATGAAGTTTGGTTGGCATCAATACTTTCTGAATAGGCATATTACTTTTAAGTATTAACAGAAACAGTAGTTAAAACTATACCCCTTGGTCACCAGCTTTCAAAGGAAGTTAGATCTCTTTAACTTATAATAAATAAGTACTAGACATACAAACAGTTTCTAAGTTGCTTATGAGGAAAAATAAAAATTGCTTATGAGAAAAAAAATTTTTAAGTTGGCTGATACCAAGAATTTTCTATGTCAAGCATGTAGTTAAGTACACAAATTTTCTCAATCTTTCTGAATTCCTTTGAGGTAGGGTAGGTACTTTATAAATGTCAATTTACAGATGAAAAAAGTGAGGTTGGAAGAGCATTGGTAATCTGCCCAAGGCCACTCAGCTAGGCCAGGAGAAGCCAGTGCTTGAACCGAGTCTCTCCCCCTACAGCTGGATTCTTACCACTGTGCCATGGAGCTGGTTAACTTTACTATGCCTACATTGTTATTGTGTGCCTTCGAGTCAATTTCAACTCATAATGACCCCATGTGTCAGAGTAGAACTGCCTTATAGGGTTTTCTAGGCTGTAATCTTTATAGGAGCAGATTGTCAGGTCTTTCTTCTGCAGATCTTCTGGATGGGTTCGAACTGCCAACCTTTCGGTTAGTAGCAGAGCACTTAACTGTTATGCCACCAGTGCTCCTTAGGATGCCTACAGGCCCAGGAAAAACCTTTCAGAGTCAGGCATGTGAACCACAGCACTGGGGACAGGTTATTGAGAATCATGATCCATTTTAATTTTTACATTTATACATGTACATTTGTGTATGCATAGGGAAAGTGCAAGTAAGCCAATATGTAATCAAACAGTCACTGTCATGCCAGAAGTCTCAATACGCTCACCCGTTTCTAAGCTGGTGAGTCTCCATGGTGTCCTTGCATTACTACAAGATTTGCTGAGGACAGGAGCTGTACCTCCTGGACAGGCACTGCCCTCCGTATACTGCACAGCTGGAATTGTTCAGTAGTCCCAGCTTCTGGTTAAAGAAAGACCTTCACACAGTATAAAGAGGTTTTCTTCCTCTATAAAAGATGTAAAATTAGATACTTTTAGAAATTCCTAGTGCTGTTTCTACACCTTTTTAAGCTACTCAACCTCAGTAAAGAAAACCAGAACATCCAACTTATTCTTGCAGGCAACTTCTGGATCAATTAACATCAATGGCTAGGAGTGGTATGTTGGTAAATATTTAACAACTAGCTATCCAAAACCCATTGCCGTCAAGTTGATTCCGACTCATAGTGACCCTATGGAACAGAATAGAACTGTCCCATGGGGTTTCCAAGGCTGTCATCTTTACGGAAGCAGACCGCCGCATCTTTCTCCCTTGGAGCAGCTGGTGGGTTTGAACCACTGACCTTTCAGCAGCTGAGCGCTTAACCACTGTGCCACCAGGGCTCCAGGGGGAGGGAAAAAGCCATGATTTGTAACTTCTGCCAGTTTCTGTGGCATAAATACTCCCACCATGGCTGATTTCAAGCTATGGATGTGGAGTTAGGAAGAAATACGCAGTAGGCACACTATCATATGGCATTTCCACCATACAGATACAATAAGGGTAAATAACTTCAAAAGCATAAATAATAATAAAAAGTAATAAAATAATTAGGAGGTGATGAGCTTTGAGTATCACCTTTATTTTTAATATCATTTAAGTTTATATAATTTAATTTTTAATAATGGCTATGTTTAACAACCAGCTCTCAAAATGAAAATTCTACAATCAGCTCTTATAAGCTGGTATGAGCTAGCTCCAGCATACCACTGAATTAGCATCCCAAAGATAGCAAGTTTCAACTTCTTTTTGATGTTTTAGAAGTTAGATAAACAGGAGTCAGCATCAGGACTCTCGGGACTTTGGGCTATTAATAAGTAAAAAGCACATAAATCCTTTCAGCATGCCTGGGAATAACTTGGGGTTTGTTGTGATTAATTGAAAATATATCTACACATAGCAATGATCATTGAGCTTTACAATTGTAAACTATTTTTTCAAACTTCAACTAGGAGTGATCACAAACCCAAGGTATGGTCCATGTGTGAGGTGGCAAATGGGATGAAGTGAATGGCTATCTTCTCCCTTCCCTTGTGGCGTAGTGTCCTGGAAGCTTTCCCCAAGGGGCAGAGCCAGGGAAGAGGAAGGCAGCTTGAATCGCCAGGGAAATGCCTAATGATTGGCGTGGGGAAGACCCAGGTCCCAGGACTCAATTTAATTTCTTCTACTCAACCAAGTATTAGTGGAGAGAATTTGAACAAAGTTGTCTGAGAGATTGCTTCCCCCGCCACCCCGAGTTTCTTAAACAGTTTGGTCCTTGTTGGTGTTCAAGGCTGGAAGTCTTCACTTGCCTCCATCCTCCATCAGTTTTACCTCTGGTAGCACTCAGAATTTTCCATGCCAAATGGTTTGTCCTGGGTAGGAACTACAAAAGAGACAAGAAACAGCGTGTTTCAGCAGCACCGATTCGTTGCAGCGATTATTCATTCCGAGAGCTTACCCAGGCTTTTTGTTTCTCTGCCATTCTGTGACTCATTACGCAGCAAAGTGAAAAATCAGACCTGCCAGTTCGGACAAAATGGTGGAGGCAGTTTGTTGACGCTCACGTTTAGGTCTTGGGGAATATGTATTTCTTTTTGCCTCTCATGAATAAGGACCTCGTTAGGTGTTGTTGGGTGCTTTCGAGTGGATTCGGACTCATAGAGACCCCAAGTGACAGAGCAGAATTGCCCCACAGGGTTTTCTTGTTGTGCCTTGGATGGCCGCTGGCTATGATCTTTACTGGAGCAAACTGCCTGGTCTTCTTCCTGAAGAGTGAGCTGCTGGGCGAGTTTGAACTGCTAAACCTTTTGTTGAACAGCTGAGCACTTAACTATTATGCCCAAGGCTCCTTCATTAAGTGCTATTCAGCAAATATTTACTGAGTGTGTGTCCTCAAGGAAGGTGCTGAGTGCTGGGCTAGACAACATTCAGAACTTGCCATCTCAGGTGTGGCTGCAGTTAGGGCTGGGCTGTTTTTTGTTGTTTTTTTTTTGTTTGGACCCCCATTTTTCTTCTGGACCTTGAAACTGAGGTCCGGGGTTGGTATATCCACCCATTGAAAGATTGGATTGTAGATGCCTGCTCCGTCAGTCTTTTTTCATTTTGCCTAGTCGACTGACTTATGGTGACCCCGTGTGTGTCAGAGTAGAACTGTGCTCCATAGGACTTTTTCTTCTTCTTCTATTTATTTTGTTGTTGTTGTTGAGAATATACACAGCAGAACATACACCAATTCAACAGTTTCTACATGTACCACTTAGTGATATTGATTATATTCTTCAAGTTGTACAACCATTCTCACCCTCCTTTTCTGAGTTGTTCCCCCTCCATTAACATAAACTACTGCCCCCTAAGGTTCCTGTCTAATCTTTCAAGTTGCTGTTGTCCATTTGATCCCATATAGATAGTTCTTAAAAGAGCATAATGCTCAAGACAGACATTTTTTACTAGTTAAGCTGAACTATTGTTTGGTTTTAAGAAGACTCCAGGGGATATTTTTGGTTTAAGGTTTAAAGATTATCTCAGGGCAACAGTTTCAGGGGTTCATCCAACCTTCATGGCTCCAGAAGTATGGAATCCATGAGAATTTGAAATTCTAGTCTGCATTTTCCCCCTTTTGATCAGGATTCTTCTATAGAATCTTTGATCAAAATGTTCAGTAATGGTAGCTGGGCACTATCTATTTCTTCTGGTCTCATGGCAAAGGAGGCAGTTATTCATGGAGGCAGTTAGCCCCACATTCCATATCCTCCTTCTGTACCTGACACTCCTCCTTCCTCTGTTGCTCCAGGTGAATTAGAGACCAATTTTTGTAACTTGGGTGGCTGCTTGCAAGCTTTTAAGACCCCCCAGGTACAAATTAGGCAACAAATTAGGAGGAAGAACAGAAACACTAAACTAGGTATTAAGCCAATTAACTGGGATGGCCCATGAAACTATGAACCTAAACCTTTCTTTTTTTGTCATTGTTGTAAATGTGTCTATAACACAACTTTTGCCAATTCAACTTTTTATGGGTGTACAACTTATTAACAGCAATTATAATAATTGGCTGTGCAATGTTAGACTTAATCAATGCAATATTTCTATCACCGTTAACCACCCCCTTCCTCCTCCCTCCTGCCCCTAGTAACCACTAATAAACATTGTTCTCTGTATATTTGCCTTTTCTTGTCTTTTTATATAAGTGAGTTCCTACAATATTTGTTCTTTTATGATTGGCTTATTTCGCTCAGCATAATATCTTTAAGCTCCATCCGTACTGTAGCATGTATCAAGACTTCATTTCTCCTTCTGGTTGAGTAGTATTCCATTGTATGTAAGTACCACATTTTGTTTATCCATCCATCTGCTGAGGGGCATTTAGGTTGTTTCAACCTTTTAGCTATTGTGAATAGTGCTGCAGTGAACATTGGTGTACAAATCTCTTTTTGAGTCTTGGCTTTCAAGTCTTTTGGGTATATACCTAGGAGTGGAATTGCTGGTTCATATGGTAATTCTATTTAGTTTTTAGAGGAACCGCCACAATGTTTTCTACAACAGCTGTACCATTTTGCATTCTCACCAGCAATGGATATGGGTTACAACTTCCCTACATCCTCACCAACTTTGTTATTTTCTTTCTTTTTTTTTAAATGTAAGCCATCCTAGTGGGAGTGAAATGGTATCTCATTGTGGTTTTGATTTGCATCTGATGGCTAATGACGCCAAGCATCTTTTCATGTGTTTGGTGGCCATCTGAATGTCCTCGGTAATGAAATGTCTATTCTAGTCCTTTGCCCATTTTATGATTGGGTTGTCTTTTTGTTAAGTTGTCCAAGCTTTATATATATTTTGGTTAGTAGATTCTTGTTAGATTATGGTTTCCAAATATATTCTCCCAGTTGGTAGCTTGTGTTTTCATTTTTTTGGTAAAGTGTTTTGATGAACAAAATTTTTAATTTTTATAAGGTCCCATTTATTTATTTTGTCTTTTGCTGTTTGCACTTTTGTTAGCATGTGAGATAATTCATTGTTGTTAAAAGCTAAACCTGACAGTGTTGCCCTTGCTTTTTCTTATAAGAATTTTATGGTTTTAGTTTGCACATTCAGTTTCTTAATCCGTTTTAAATTTGTTCTTGTGTATGGTGTGAGGCATGGATCCTGTTTCATTTTTCTGTATGTGGAAATCCAATTTTCCCAGCACCATTTTTTAAAGAGACTGTTCTTTCCCATCGAATGGACTTAGCACCGTTGTCAAAAATCAGTTGACCATAGATGTGGGGGTTTATTTCTAGACTCCTAATTCTATTCCATTGGTCTATGTGTCTGTTATACCAGTACCAGGCTGTCTTGATTACTGTAGCTGTATAGTATGTTTTAAAATCAGGAAATGTGAGTCCTACTTTGTTCTTCTCTTTCAACATTGCTTTAGCATTTGGGGCCTCTTGCCATTCCATATAAAGTTGAGGATTAGTTTTTCTATTTCTGTAAAGAAAGCTGTTGGAATTTAGATTGGGACTGCATTGAATCTATAGATTGCTTTGTGTAGTATTGACATCTTAACAATATTAAGTCTTCCAATCCATGAACATGGACATCTTTCCATTTATTTAAATCTAATTTCTTTCAGCAGTGTTTTATAGTTTTTATTGTATAAGTTCTTCACGTCCCTGGTTAGATTTATTCCTAGATATTTTATTCTCTTAGATGCTGTTGTAAATGGAATTGTTTCCCTAATTTCCCTTTCAGATTTTTTACTGCTGGCATATAGAAACTCAACAGATTTTTGTTTGTTGACCTTATACCCTGCAACTTTGCTAAATTCCTCTGTTAGCTCTAGAAGTTTTCTTGTGGACTCTTTGGGATTTTCTACATATAGGATCATATCATCCACGAAGAGAGATTTTACTTCTTCTTTTCCAATCTGGATACCTTTTATTTCTTTTTCTTGTCTTATTGCTCTGGCTAGGACTCCTTATACAATGTTGAACAGAAGTGGTTGAGTGCAGGCCCCTTGACTTGTTTCTGATTTCAGGTATAATGTTGGCTATTGGCTTTTCATATCTGCCCTGAATCATATTGAGGAATTTACCTTCTAGTACAATCTCCTTTAGTGTTTTCATCAAGAAAGTGTGTTGGATTTTATCAAATGCTTTTTCTGCATTCATAGAGATGAGCATGTGGTTCTTTTCCTTTGTTCTATTGATGTGGTGTATGATGTTGATTTTCTAATGTTGAACCATCCCTGCATTCCTGGAGTAAATCCCATTTGGTCATGGTATATGACTCTTTTAATATGCTGTTGGATTCTGTTGGCTAGTATTTTGTTGAGGATTTTTGCATCTATATTTATAAGAGATACTGACCTGTAGTTTTCTTTTCTTGTGGTATCTTTGTCTGGTTTGGGTATCAAGATTATGTTTGCTTCATAGAATGAATTAGGGAGTATTCCTTCTCTATCTTTTGCAAGAATTTAAACAGTATCGATGTCAATTCTTTTCTAAATGTTTGGTAGAATTCCCCAGTGAAGCCACCTGGTCCAGGCCTTTTTTTTTTGTTGGGAGGTTTGTTATCACTGATTTGATCTCTTCACTTGTTATGGGTCTGTTGAGACTTTTTTTTTCTCTTGAGTCAGTTTGGGTCCTTCAGTCTTTTTGTGATTGTTTTGCCGTGTATAGAGAGGACGAGAGCTCTGTCTGGGCATGTTCTCTTAAGAGCTGGCCAGGTGCACAGCTGGTAAGGGCAGGTAAGGGCTCAGGATTATGAAAATAGCTTTGTGATTCCCCCTGCTTGGGGTCCCCAGGAGAGAGACTATTCTTAAGAAGTGTCTCTGCCCTGAAGGAGCTTTTCTTTGCCACTTGGCCTGAAGAACTTCTTTTTTGAAAAAGCGATTTGGACTAGAGTCAAAATCCTGAACTGCAAAGAGATGGCCAATTAGGCCACTGGGCCAAGTTCCAGCCAAGGAGGCTAGCTCTGCCTCTTAGCACCCTGAACAGGCTGGAAAGAGTCTTGGCCAGTGGTTCCATGGCATGGAGGGTGCAGGAAGCCAAGTTCACAATCACGCTCCTCTCCCAGTGGAGAAACCATGAGTCAGCCTGTCCCACTCCCGCCTTCCCTAAGAGCCCAGTGCAATCGCATGGTGAAGCAGGAAGAGGGAAAAAGGAAGCTGTAGAAAAATAAACATTTCCTTGCATTTTACTTGGAACAAAACACCATTTGTGGCGTGCTAAGATCCAGAGCATTTCTCCCCTCCTCCCCCAGCTCTGTTTTCCTCCTCTTGTGTAGCGATGGATTCTTCCCTTACCTGATGAGAGTCCAGGGTGCATCCTGTGGAAAAACAGGAGCAAGATATAGAAGGCAAAAGCCAAGCAACCAAAGATCACGCCACAGACCAGGAAACTATAGCTGCCCTGAGCCTGGAATATCTGCCAAAGGGGAAAAACAGAGAGACAGGGCGTTAAAACTTCACATGGAAAATGTATTGGAGGAAGCAACCTTCTTGGGCCCTTGGCAGGCTTCTCAGTCAAGTTGAGGCCTGTCATACCAGCAGAGAGAAACATGGCGTAGGAGGGAAGTCTTCGCCTCGTTACATGGTTATGTTTCTGGAGGAGGCAGAAATCCTGCCCTAAGGCAGGGCTTGGACCTAGTGACCCCCCTGCAGTCCTTTTCAGCTCAGTGTTCTGGATCTTCTGAAAATCTCAATATCATCATTGAAACTCCAACCATATTAGGTGTTCTATACTCACAAAGCTTAACCCTATCTTTGTAGAGGATACACACACACACACACACACACACACACACTTAACTTTTTATTATGGAAAATTTAAAACATATGCCAAAATAGCATATGGAACTCCCATGGACCCATCATCCCACTTTAACCATTAGCAACAATTTCATCTGTACCCCTTCACTTCCTCCCTGCACTAGATTATATTGCAGTAAATCCCAGACATCATATCATTTCAATGCAGAGGATATCGTAAGATGTAGCATTTCACCCATCTGGTGGGGCAAAAGAGGGAGAAAGGAGACTCGGGTGGTGATCAGGGGGATTTCTGGAGACTGCAAGACCTAGGTTGGAATGTCACCTCTGTCAGGTACTAGCAATGTGACTGACCTAGGGCAAGTTATCTGAGTTTCAGTATCCTCCGTTGTAAAAAGGAGAATAACATCTACATTATAAACCAGTTGCGGTTGAGTTGACTCTGATTCATGGCAACCCCATGTGTGTCAGAGGAGAACTGTGCTCCACAGGGTTCTCAATGGCTGATTTTTCAGAAGTAGATTGCAAGGCCTTTCTTCCAAGGTGCCTTTTGGTGGACTTGAATCATGAGCCTTTCAGTTATCAGCTGGGTGTGTTAACTGTTTGCATCACCCAGGGACTCATATCTACTTCAAACATGCCCATGTTTCATTTGTTCAGGAAAAAAAGGACTAACATCAGTTTTTTATTAAATACTATGTTGTTGTTGTTGGGTGCCTGCTGCCTGGTCTTGAGCCATTCTCACAGTCATTACTGTGTTTGAGCCCATTGTTGCAGCCACTGTGTCAGTCCAGCTGACCCCCTACTTTTCTAAGTATGATGTCCTTCTCCAGGGACTGGTCCCTCCTGATAACATGTCCAAAGTACATGAAAGGAAGTCTCGCCATCCTTGCTTCTGAGGAGCATTCTGGCTGTACTTCTTCTAAGACAGACTTGTTCGTTCTTCTGGCAGTCCATGGTATATTCAATATTCTTTGCCAGCACCATGATTCAAAGGCATCAGTTCTTCTTCGGTCTTCCTTATTCATTGTCCAGCTTTTGCATGCATATGAGGTGACTGAAAATACCATGGCTTGGGTCAGGTGCACTTTAGTCCTCAAAGTGACATCTTTGCTTTTTAACACTTCAAAGATGTGTTTTGCAGTGGATTTGCCCAATGTGATACATTGTTTGATTTCTTGACTGCTGCTTCCATAGGTGTTGATTGTAGATCCAAGTAAAATGAAATCCTTGACGACTTCAATCTTTTTTCCGCTTATCATGATGTTGCTTATTGGTCCAGTTGTGAGGATTTTTGTTTTCTGTATGTTGCGGTGTAATCCATGCTGAAGGCTGTGGTCTTTGATCTTCATCAGTAAGTGCTTCAAGTCCTCTTCACTTTCAGCGAGCAAGGTCGTGTCATCTGCATATCGCAGTTTGTTAAATTCTATAGTGTTCCTTTTTTTCCTGGTGAACAAGTGAAACATGGGCATGTCTGAAGGGAACTGGGGAGAGTTGGCCCTTGATCAAGGCAGGAGTTGGGCAGGAAAGCTGGGCTCCATGCAGGGTGACCAAGGGCAGTGAGAGGTGGGGGAGGGAGTGGTGGGCTGCGAAGGGCTGGGAAAAGACCCCTGACCGCAGTGCAAACCCGTCTTGGGCTCTGAGAGCCAAGCAGCGTTCCCACAGGCCCCCTGTGGCTCCACTCCCGGCCAGGATCGTGTTTGCTTTGGACTTGCCTACACGTCCCCTCGCTTCTCCAGGTCCCACACATGGCGGCTGGGCTCTCAAGGCTGCCTCTGAGACAGTCACAGGTACCGCAGGTACAGCGGGCCCTGCTTGCTCTGTGGGAGACCCAGGGAAGGGCCAGCTGGGGTTCAGAAGGTGGGTGCTGGCGTCCTCTCACCTGCTCTGAAGCATGCTCCCAACTGCCCCCCACCTAGAGTTTCCCACATACCGAACCAACCAGTAGCTGGAGGACCATCTCGCCGATTGCCGCCCCCGTCACCAGCACTGTGGTCGCACAGCCTAACAAAAAGAGAAGGATTTGGTTTGGTAGAAGCAAGTCAAGGGGATAGAAGTCAGCTGTCCTAATCCAGGCTGTTTCTGGGAAACCTCTGGAAAATGGAATGGCTGCCTAAGAGGACAACTTGGATTCCTACGATTTCTCAGATTTAGCCCTTAACTTTGCTCTGGGAATGCTTAGGTCATATTGCCCTTGTTTCCTCCTCCTTCTGAAGCCTTCAGTTGCTCACAGTCGTCTTCAGGGTAAATTTCAAGTTGCTTAGCCCAGCACTCAGGCCCGTCCCCATCTGACTACCACCCAACTTTCCAGAAAGGTGTCCTGATATTGTCAAGGACAAAACTTGGGCAGAAAGACTCTGCTGCAGGCAGACAGTGTTCCAGCTACACTGGTGTTGCACAGATGGGCCACAAGGCTCTGCGGATCCTGACCACATGGCCTTCAGAGCCAAACTGCTGAATCAGACTTGGGTTCCAGTCCCTGCTCTGTCACCCGAGGCAAGTCCTCTAGCTTCTCTAGGCCTTGGTTTACTTCTCTGTAAAATGGGCACGGCAGCACGTCCTTCACAGGGAGCTGTGGCTAGCTCTGGTATAATGTACGTAAACAGCTTATTAGCATAGTGCTGGTAGACGGTACAGGCCCCAAACCAGGCCAGCTCTCTGCCAAAACCCTTCAACACTGCCCTCAGGATAAAGTCCACATGGTTTCCTGTGGCCTAACGGCCCTTTACAATGTGCCCCTGCCAATAGCTCAGGTCTGTCTCTCCCGCTGCCTGCTCCCCTCGAGTCAGGATGAGCCTCTCCCTGCCCCTGCAAACTCACTCACCGCCAGGCTCTGGCACATGCGCTGGCTTCCTCCTCAACACTCCTCCTCCTGCCTTTTGGCAAGCTCCTGTTCATCTCTTGGGTCCTAGTTTAAAAGCCCCTGGGCCATACAAACTGTTAACAGGCACTCAGCTACTAACAGAAAGGTTGGAGGTTTGAGTCCACCCAAAGGTGTCTCAGAAGAAAGGCCTGGTGATCTACTCCTAAAAACTCAGACATTGATAACCCTACAGAGCACAGTTCTACTCTGACACATGGGTTGCCATGAGTTGGGCTGACTCGATGGCAACTTTCTTTGAGACTTCCTTCAGTAATCTTCCTTGGCCCGCAAACCTGGACTAGTTGCTCCTCCTCTGTGCTCCCACATTCCCCCCACCACCACGTACCCTGCTGCCCATTTACCTGCCAGCCTCACCCACCACGCCAAAGGCCATGAGAAGAGGACTGGCCTGGAGCTTTGGCTCACTGGTGTGCCCGAGCTGGTTAGCACGGTGGCCACGTGGAGCAGAGCTGAGCATGCCGACTGCAACAGCTGTCAGCATCGTCTGCTCTGGGCCGCAAGCTCCTTTTAGCCCTTTCAGTCTCAGTTATGGTGCTGTCTGTCTCTGGCCTGTGCTCTCATGCTGTTCACCGCCCTGCCTGGAATGCCTTTCCTTTTCCTCTCTGCCTTTCCAGATCCTGGGCCAGCTCATGTCCCATCTCCTCCATGAAGCTACCTGTAGATTCAGTACCAGCTACCCACATCTCTGAATTCCAGTAGCACCCCTGTCTATTCCAGTTATTCATTCAAAACACTTGGAAGGCCTTTACGCTAAACACTGAGGAGACGCAGACAGATAATAAGAGTTAGCATATACTGAGCACCTGTGAGCCAGGCAGACTGCTAAGCTTTAGATTATCTCTAATGCACAAAACAATCCTGTGTGCAGCCTCATGTTAGAAATGAGAAAATGGAGGCTCAGAATGGGGATGGAAACCGCACCGGCTCATAAAGCCAGGTGCTGAGTTAGGATTTACACTCAGGTCTGCGGCTGACTTGCTCTTTCCCTTTTCCCTTGCTGGTGCCCACAGGGAGCACGTGTCCAGGAGAGGGGGCAGGTCATGTAGGTACCAGAAGCCTTGAGCGGGCTGAACAGGAGAGATGGGGGCCCTGTGCCATGGGGCACCAAGGAGGGGGATCGGAGACACTTCCAGAGGATGGCGGACGAGAGGCCTGAGTCAGGTCTGGAAGGACAGCAGGCTGATAAAGGGGTGAGACAGGGTGGAGAGGGCGTTCCAGGCAAAGGGTTTAGCATGGGCCAGGGGACAGAGGGACAGGACAGTTCTGTGCCATCAGAGAACAGCAAGTACTTCAGCGTGGCCAGAACGCAGACTGTGAGGGGAAGCGGGCAGAGGAGGCTGGGGAAAGGAAGGGAGCTCCATAGGGAGATAGGAAGGCTGTGTTTTAAAACCACCCCTTGGCAGCATGCCTTAGTCTGTGGCCCTCACCCCTGGCTACATGCTCGAGTCCCCTGGGAGTTCCACCCATGAACTCAGACTTTCTGGAGAGGAAGCCCAGGCATAGCTCCGGGCTTGTTCCAAGCGCTCCCTGCGATTTCAACATTCAGCCAGGGTCGAGCACCACTGCATCAGGTGGAGGTGAGACTGAAGGCAGGGAGAGAAGCTAAGGTGTTATTAAAACAGTCCAGGCAGGTTAACGACAAGAAAGGCCTGGGCTAAGGCAGGGGCAGAGAGAAATGAAGAGGGTGGATTTGAAGGATGATTTACAGGCAGAATCAAATGATATAACTTATTGTTGTTATTACAGTAAAACCTATGAAAGCCGAAGCCTGTGTAAGGTGGAAATCTGTCAGAGAGGGAAAACGCAAACAAGCGATAGAGAAGTAGTAAGACTACACCCTGTCAAAGGCAGAAAACTTGCAAGACCCAGAAAAACAAGGCAGTCCTGCCGAGTCTGGCTCTCACAGGCTCCAATGTATTTAACACGTGTTGATCACTTAAAACTGTGTGGGATATACTGTGTTATGCACGAGACCAACATTATTTCATTATTCCCTTCATTCCCTTGAGGTTTCGAGACTGAGGGGCGAGGAAGGAATCTGGGCACTCTCCCGTCCCTGGGAGCTGGGTGAGCTGGCTGGTGTCTGTTCTACCCCTAGGGTAGTCTGTGGGAGACGAGGCTTCCCTGGGCGTGTCCTGGGAACCCAGCACTGTGTCCTTAGTGCAGAGAGATGGGTGTGTGACCAGATGGACGGGCAGTGGTGACTGCATGAGGCATCTTCTTCCCTGATTTTTCATCAGGGCCTGGGCTTCATTAGAGTCAGAATGCAATCACATTTATATCAGGTCGGCCCTTGATTTGGGGTATTCCTCAGTCAGGTTTAGTACGTGCACTCAGAGGAACCGAAAGGGGAAACCGATACATTTGATTCCTTGATTCATTCTATCACACGAATTGTTTTCTCTTCTAAATGACGAATGTTAAACAGTATATGCTGTGGTCTCACCCAGATTGAAATATACACACAGTGAAGGCTGTGAGAGCCGGAACTCGGAGAGGGGACTGCCTTGTTTCTCCATGCCTTGCAAGTTTCCCACCTTTGACAGGGTACATACAGTCTTACCACTTCTCTATCGCTCGTTTTAGTGGGAAATATTTGAGTTTTCCACCTTCCTAGGTTCCAGCTTTCACAGGTTTTACTGTATGTGTTTTTATGCCCAAAAGGGATCTGGGAGGAAACAAATCAAACTGCTAACCAGTCACTTTCAGCTACTCTGACTTATATCTCTAGATACTGGTATTGTTTGAGGTCTTTACAGTGAATGTATACTACCACGAGAATAAAAAATTCCATTTGAAAACAAAACAATGTTTACGTTCATTGTAGAAAACATTTGATTCCTTCTTAACGGCTGATGATGATGTTATGTGCTAATATTATTTGGGGATTATCCTTAGATTGTAAGGGCCCAGGCTCTCCTTGTCTCATTACCGTGGATAACTGAGAGTCCGACCCTCTCTATGCACCCCATTTCCCCCGCTCCTCTAAGGAAATCGCTCATCTTAATGCTGGTTTTCCAACACTCTAGAGTGTCTCTGAATCCCTGGTGGTGTAGTGGTTAAGAAATCAGCTGCTAACCAAAAGGTTGGCAGTTCAGATCCACCAGCTACTCGTTGGAAACACTATGGGGCAGTTCTACTGTGTCCTATAGGGTCGCTATGAGTCAGAACTGACTTGACAGCAACAGGTCTGGTTTCTGGGGAACATTTCTAGTTACTTCTAAGGGTAGCATTAAATGTTCAAAACATAATTAATTGTAATTAACTCACTAAAAAAAGACCTTACTACATGCACTTGGAAGGCTAGGGAGAGTGGGGGGGATTAGTGGGGAAAATTAGAGGTTTCCGACATCAGAGACGCTGTGTCACAACCCCAAACGAGGTGTGGAGTCTTCTTCTAACCCGCTACACCTCAACAACATCTTCAACAACAACAAAGCAAGGAGGTACTGTTACTGATAATTAAATGATAAAACACCTTGCCGATGCCATAACATTTCCTAGGCAACTTGGCTTCTCTTTTGAACTTGGAATTTCCAGCACATGCATGTTACACAAAATGTCAGCTGTAAGCCAGTAGACATTACTACAGAAAAAAAGAAAACAGACAAGCAACACTTACTTGAGGCTGCTCTGTGGCCTGCAATCACACTGTACAGTTTTGAGTGGAGGGAGCCATGTATGTCAGAACAAGCCCCATATGGAGACCTGTCCCCACCAAAGCCAGGAGGGGAGCGTCCATTTCTCTGAGGAGCTCTGGGGTATTGGTCTTCCAGCTGGAAGATGGTGCTGGCCTCGAATATCACAGACAGGTGGGGGCAGGGGAAAGTGGCGCTCAGCCAGCAGGAGAATGCCTCTTTGCTCTCAGTCCCTGCACTCACCTTTGTACTGAAGGATGTCCTCAGTGTAGGCTAGCATGCTGGGAAAGGTGCTACTGAGGAACAGCCCCAGACTCGCTGTCCCCACAAACAGGAAGATGACGTTGTAGGAGAAAATGAGAAGCACCAGGAAGGTCCCCACCACGCCGACCTGTCACAGCAGAGATGGAGGCTTAGAAATTGAGAAAAGCTGAACATCCATAAGGAAAAGAGGCAAAAAGAGGCCTCAGAAAGACCTCCAAGCTTGCTGGCTGTCCTGACTTGGAAAGCGTCCACGCTAGTCCCGGGCAGGGCTGCGTAACCAATGCGCCACCCTGTGGTAGATCTGGGAACTGCAACTTTCCTATTCTGGTATCCACGAAGGAAGCCCCAAGAACCTGAGAGACGGCAGGGAGGCGAGCCCACTTAGCTCTACGCAAATGGCGTACCACACCCGCTCACTATGCATTTGGTGAGTGAATACTGCCTGTCCCCAAGGTCTTATCTGTAGCCACGGGTAATTCCATCCAAGTCATCGGCTCTCTGCCCTGCCTGCTGGCTTGTATGAGTCTTTTATTTCCCTGTGAAGAAAAGCAGCTTCGCTTTCACTAAAAGTCCTGAGAATACCAGGGCCAAGAGTGCGCACAGAGGAAGCCGTTGGGCCGCAAGGGAGGCGGTGAGGTGGCTGCTGTGTCCCCACCCTCTGGGAATCCAAGCAAATCTCATGGGGTGAGTGTCAGTGGCTACAGCAAGCAGCTTGGCTTCCTCCAGATTTGGCTTGGATTCTCAACGGGCAGATTCTAATCTGTGGTTGGGGACCCTTGTAATGACTCATACCCCAGCCAAGCCAGTTTAACTAGCAGTGCCCCCTGCCAGGAAAGCTCAGTCAAGGTCTCTGTCATGTGCCCATACTTGTTAAAATAACCCTATTTCTTTTTTTTTTATTGTTGTAAAAATATAGATAACACATTTGCCAATTCAACATTTTTCACATGTACAATTCAGTGACACCAGTCACATCAATCATGTTGTGCAGCCATCGCCAATATCCGTTGCCAAATTTTCAGAACCGAAAATTCAGCGCTTCCTAAACAATGACTCCCCCTTTCCTCTTCCCTCCTGCTCCTGGTAACTACTGTCAAACTCTGATCTCTACACATTTGCCTATTCTAGGTATTTCATATCAGTGGGCTGAGTGAAATACGTCGATCACAAAAAATAGCCCTATTTCTAAGTTTTTTAAAATGTTTTTATCTCAATATTGAACACTTTTCTTTGTAGAACCCCTCTGGGAAGAAACCCTAGGTCGCGTTAGATTTGGCGTCAGAAGACCCAGGTCTAAGTCCCAACTCTGTTTTTTATCAGTATTTACGAAAGCTCCACTAGAAGGTGTTGGTGAAATCATAAATAATGAAGGGTCTCTCTACAGAGTGTGAACCTGTAGACAATATCAGTCCTAGTATTTATGTGTAGACTTTTCTTAATGTAGGGGCCCTGGTGGCACAGTGGTTAAAGCGCTTGACTGCTAACCGAAATGGTGGCGGTTCAAACCCACCAGCTGCTCTGCAGGAGAAAGATGTGGCAGTCTGCTCCCGTAAAGATTACAACCTTGGAAACCCTATGGGGCAGTACTACTCTGTCCTACAGGGTCACTATGAGTCGAAATCGACTCTACTGCAATGGGTTGTTTTTTTTTTTTCGTCTTCTTAGTATCTTAGGAGACAAGGATCTTCTGTTGAAGCCTGTAGCTTTGAGGCAAAACTTGGTGGGTGAATGCATGTTGTTTCTAGAAAACATAAGATAAAATCATACAGTATAGAAATAAAGGTGTGTGAGGGATCACAGGAGCCCTGGTGGCGCAGTGGTTAAGAGCTTGGATGCTAACCAAAAGGTCGGCAGTTCAAATCTACCAGCAGCTCCCTAGAAACCCTATGGGGGCAGTTCTCCTCTGTCCTATAGACTCACTATGAGTCAGGATTGACTCAATGGCAATGGGTTAAGGGATCATATCTAATTGCCCCCACCCTTCTCTGATGTATAGATGAAGGACTGAGACTGCAGAAAGGGACTTCATAGAGTCACTGAAGTAGGAAAAACAAAGTCAGTGATTGCAACCTGTGACCTCGCTCTTTACTCTCCTTCACCAGCCCCTCAGTCTCTGTACTGCAAGACATCCTAGGTGTGAGGCATTCTCCTGGAGTCATGCTTCGAGACTCAGGGTCCTTACCTAGAAGGACTTCCTGCTCCTAGAGTGGGAGCAGCCACAAAACAGTGGCTGAAGAAAACACATACTCTTCAGAGGAGGCAACACGGAAGACTTCTTTAATGCAGTAAAAATACGAAAGCAATGTACAGATCTGTCCTTCCAATATAATGTATTTCCTTGGCATAATACATTATATTTGCTCTTTCTTCCTTCTCTGCTCAATTTCTAAATGTCAGAGTGGCCCAGGACTCTGTTCTGGCTCTTCTTTATCTACATTCCCCCCTTAGTCTAGCTCCATGGTTTCAAATATCTCTATGCAAGGTACTCTCAAATCGATCCCATCAGCCACAACTGGTGTCCGGAATTCCAGACTTGCATATAAAACTACTCCTTTGATGTAGTCACTGAATGACCGACTTAACATGGTCAAAACGGAACTTTTAATTTCCTCCACCAAACGTACTCTTCCTCATAACCAATTAGTAGCATCTCCATCATGTTGCTCAAGCCCCATATTTAAGAGTGGTCCTTGATTCCTCATCCCCTCACCTTCTACATTCAGGCCAAGGGCAAGTCCTGTCAATTCTACCTCAAAAAACTTACTAGCCTGGAGCAGTAGAGGAAGGAGGATCAGGAATCACAGGAGCAGCTGGAATGTATATCTAATTGCCTACATGAACAACTCCTTCCTTTACCATGAGACCAGAACTGGATGGTGCCTGGCTACTATTAATTCTCATGGAATCCAGCCTTCCTGGAGCCATTGAGGCTGGATGATACCCCCTCCCATACCAAACTACTGCCCTAAGGAAATCTTTAAACCTTTAACCTTAACCAGAAACTATCCCCTGAAGGCATCTTTAAACCAAACAATAATTTAGCTGAATTAGAAAAGCATGTCTGCCTTGAGCAAAGAATTATCTATATATGATCAAACTGACAACAGCAACTTGAAATATTAGATGAGAAGCTTGGGGAGCAGTGAGTTTGTGTTAATGACGGTAAAATAATGTGGAAAAGGATACTGAGAAATGTGGCACACCTTGAAGACTGTAACCAATATCACTGAATTGTAAATGTAGAAATTGTTGAATTGGTGTATGTTTTGTTGTGTATATTTTCACCAAAAACGTATGAGCATCTTTGTCTCTCCACATCCATCATGACCACTCTCGTCCAAGCCACCTCCATGTCGTGCCTGAACCACAGTAGTAGCCATCTTACCAGCCCCCCTGCTGTTACTCCTGGCCCTCTACAATCCATTCTGCCATAGAAAAACTAGTTGTTGGCTGCCATTGGACTGGCCCCTGACTCATGGTGAACCCATGCACAATGGGATCAGACTGTGGTGATCCATAGGGCTTTCACTGGCTGATTTTTGAAAGTAAACTGCCAGGCCTTTCTTCCTAGTCCATCTTAGTCTGGGAGCTCCACTGAAACCTACTGAGCAACACAGCAACAGGCAAGCCTCCACTGACGGATGGGTGGTGGCTGCGCATGAGATGCACTGGCCAGCAATCGAACCCGGGTCTCCCGCGTGGAAGGTGAAAATTCTACCACTGAACTGCCAATGTCCTCGTAACAACTAGAGTGAGCTTTTAAAAATGCGAAGCAGATCATGTCCATTCCCTGCTTAGAACCTTCTAAGGGCTTCCCACCCACTTAGAATAAAATGTCAATCCTGGCTGGTAAGACCTACAGGATCCTGCGTGTGTCTGCTTCCCCAGCCTCACCTCTTTCTGCTCACCCTCCCCCACACCACCGCCGGCTCCAGCCAAGTGAGTCGCCACCTGGGGGCCTGGAACTAGCAGTGTCCTCTGCCAGGAACGCTTACCCTCTGCTCTTCACCTGGCTGGACCTTCTCAGCTGATGTCTCTGCCTCAGAGAGGCCTTCCCTGAGCCTGGGGCAGGCACCAGTACTTTGAAGATGTTGCTCTGGCAATAGTGCTCCTGCTCCTACCCTCAATCTGGCTTCCCAACCACACATCAGGCAAGCCTCAAAGACAGTCACCCAGTAAGAAACCTCGAGATTTGGGGAAGTTTAAAAACTCTCTTATGTCGGCCTTAGTGACAGAAGACTGAGTGTGCCCTAGTCAAACTGTCAACTCTGCCAACCAACTCTTCCCACTCGGCCTGTCAGTCTGTCTCTCAGCCTGCTTCCCAGCTGCCCACCAACTCATTATCCTCCCTCTCCCCTGCCCAGCTCTGCCCCTTCCGCTGCGGCCCCCACTTTCCCAGGCACATCAGGGCTCCCTTCATGTCCTCCCCATGCTCCTCCTAATCACAGCTCTTCCTCACAGTCCTACTGATGAAGGCTCTCTCCCTCGCTCCTCATCCCTCTCCTTCTCTCCTGCCTGCCCTTCAGTGTAGCATCCTCCATCACTATGCTGTAACTTGTCTTTGGATTCCCAGCCCCATACTCCCACCACGTCTCTGCATTGCCACAGCCCCCATTCACCAACCTCTGGAACGCCTTCCTGCTTTCCCCAACATCTTTAGAACCCAGCTGTCAGATTAATCCTTCGATCCCACTTCCTGCCATCATTGTTTGGTGGCTTCATTGTGGATGGTTGTTGATAATCACTGTATAACTCTGGAGCAGACATTTATCTTTGGGGAGGTCAACCCACCCAGAGGCGCCTTAGAAGAAAGGACTGGTGATCTACTTCCAAAAGGTCACCGGCATTGAAAATCCTATGGAGCACAGTTCTACTTTGAAACACATGGGGTTGCTATGAGTCCAAACTGGCTTAATGGCAACTTTTTTTTTTTTTGCCCTGCTTCCAGAGTTTTCTGATTTTGAGGGACTCCCTCATGGTGGGAGTCTTGGAGGGAGATGCTTCCTACAACAGACACACAAGTTCCCACGCTCTCCTCCCTCACCCAGGACAGGTATGTTTAGGCCACGTAGCCTCAGCTAAACCAGCTGGGTGCTCCTGCCTGGGACTTTGGCTCCAGAAAGAATG